TTACATTATTTACATTCAGTAATTATCATATTAATATTGAATAACAAAGACCCGAGTGACTCAGCTGACCTAAAAATCCCTTTTTCTTCCAGAACATCTATATGTAGAAGACAATCTTGATGAATATGATAACATAAACAGTCCTCATCAAATCGAAAATTTATTTAACATGCGTCAAAACTTTCAATTTCAGATGTTATTATATAGTCTATTTATAGTCTCTATGTAATCTATACAAACGCAAACAGTTCATAACACTACATATTCACTGGTTTTGAAGCCGTATTCACCGGAGGGTCTGTGCGCGTGCAGCGGCATTGTGACGTCACAATCAACACCTCAAACAACGTTGTAAACAATGGTTGCAACGGCCGGAGCCGTGTTACTGAGCAGGAAAAACATTAGCCAAGCCTATCGCAGGGCTATTTTCTAAACATTACGATGTCTTACAAACAGCAAAAGGAAAACACGAAAGTTATAATTTGTAATCTGGACATTTTTTCAAAATTTTTCTACGACAGAAGTTCGTAAATGGAAGTGGTAACATCATGCAGCCTTCAATGTCTAATTTATTCAAATCCGGACTATATAATAAAACAATTATGGACTCTTTCGGTGGTGAATATGGTTTGTTACTCACCAGAAAAATATCAATATTGACCGAAGCGAAGCCGAGGTCAATATTGATATTTTTCTGGTGAATAACAAACCATATTCACCACCGAAAGAGTCCATAATTGTATAGTGCTGTATTGGTCATAGCCTGAGAAACATGCGATACTCAGGTGACCGTCAAGGCCCATGAACCTCTGGTTCATTCAGTACACAAAATGGAACTTTTCCCCATAATTCTTTCCAGTAATTGCTTCAATCAAACACGTGCAAAATTTATACATGTTTCTAACTTTACCTGTAAAGATTTTCGAAAATGAGATCTAAGAACAGAGAAAATCAAGTTGAATAAATATTTCAGTGTTTTGTTGTTTCTAACTATACAATTCGTCCTTGATTTTCCATAACAATCACACTGAATTTGGCATTAAGAAACCAGAAGTCTCTGACGAGGCTGTACCTCTACTGGTGCGTACTTGGAGTATCTTAGTATTGTCTACTTGTGTACCAAGTCTTTTTGAAATCTGACTAAAACTGCAGGAAGAGTAGAATTTTGAATTTCAAAGAAATCTTAATTTTTAGAAACCTTGACAACACGGTTTGTCAAAATCAAAAACCAATAAAAAGAATTATGCCTCTTAGTCTAGACTACCTGTGAACAAGTCCAAAACTGTAGGAGGAGTAGAGTTTTTTTAGAAAAAGATTTTTAGAGAAATTCAATTTTTAATAACAATGGCAACACAGTTTGTCAAAATCAAAAACCAACACAAAAATTATGTATCTTAGTTATAGTGTGTTTGTGCACCGAGTCTTCTTGAAATTGGATCAAAACTGTAGGAGGGGTAGGGTTTTGAAAGTATTTCGAGAAATAACTATTTTGGTAACCATGGCAATGCCGTTTGTTGAAATCATAAACCGGTAAAAAGAATTATGTATCTTAGCATAGTATATTCCTATATAACAAATCTTACTGAAATCAGACCAAAACTGTCGGGGGAGTAGCGTTTTGAAATAATTATTTTTAAGAAATTTCTGTTTGTAGTAACCATGGCAACAACATTTGTTGAAATTGAAAACTGATAGAGGAATTATGTATCTCACTGTAGTGTACTTGTGTACCAAGACTTATTGAAATCGGACAAAAACTGTAGGAGGAGTAGTATTTTGAAAGAATTTCATAGAAATTTCTATTTTTAGTAATCATGGCAAAACTTTTTGACGAAGTAAAAAAAAACGGTATACAGAATTATGTATCATAGTATAGTGTACTTGTGTACAGTCTTATTGAAATTGGACCAAAGTGTAGGAGGAGTAGCGTTTTGAAAAAAAAATGTTTGAAGACAGACGGACGGACAACGAATACCTTACTATCGCATAAGCTCTTCTGGGGGTCGTAACTTAAAGGGTACTTAAGTCTAAGACCGTGCTTAAGTAGGACTTAAGTACAGTCTTAAACTTAAGACCGTAACTAGAAACGTGCTAAGATTTGACAATCTTAGCAAAACTTAGGCGGCCGGTAGAGGTGACTTACGTATGTCTTAACTTTCTATAACATATATTTAGAACTATTTAAGGTTGACTTTCTATGTTAAAACATCCCTCTATTATTATTACGAAAGCCCATTGAGCTCATTTTCGCGTTATAACGCGAAAGTTACGCGTTTATTCGCGAAAGTTGCGCGTTATAACGCGAAAGTTTCGCGTTATAACGCGAAAAATATATTTTTGTTACCTACGAAAATGAGCTCAATGGGCTTTCGTATTACGACTATTTGTATTATGCATTAAAAAAATAATTTTCTATGTTTAATATACTGGTATAAGAATTTTAGTTTTTCGTCGAGGGGGGGGGGGATTCATCACTGATTCCAAGGTCACTCTCCAAATGACATATACATGTAAATGCAAAATATTATTTTTGGGATACGTTTGAAATATTAGTGGGAACTAGGTTATAAACACTAATCATTATAAGTAAATTGTATACAGTAATCATGGATTTGGTTGTTCACTGTGAAAAAATGAGATTAAATGATTTTAAAAAATGTCGACGAATTAAAGGATGACGACTAGAAAACTGATAAAGATTTTCTGTAAATTAGATTGAATGTAGAACGCAACAAGCGAGGATTCAGACAGGGTTCACTACCGTTAACGTTCGAGAGAGAGAGAGAGGGGGGGGGGGAGAGAAAGTTGTTGATAAGTTGGAGATATACGAAAAAATTATTTTCTGAAAACAATTCTTTTCCATCTTCATTAAATTATAAATAAGTATATCATAAACCGTCTGCAGTCTCTGCTTGCTGATATGGGAGGGAAAAAATTCAAAATGTCCCCATTGTTAATGGAATGATTTAAAATAAATTTTGGTCTCTGACCAGAAGAACAAAAAAAAAAAAAAAAAAAGATGGTGTCTTTCTTACACATAAGTATACTCTTGAAGACAACAAATTTCTGATAATTACCGATTTTCCGGACATATGCATTTCAATAGCTGAAAATAGCAAATACCATAAATAGATTATCGGAAAAATATGATTTAATTCACTTTAAAATCTCCAATTTTTCTTTAAAATATTAATATAAATATTAGTAAAAAGTCTGATTATTTATTATAAAAAGCCATTTTACCTGTCCTCTATTCAACAGTGTTCAAACAGGTGTTCAATAATCACTGTTTATACGGTAATTATATGTTTATACAGCTAATTATTTTTTTAAACAAAAATTCCACCTATTCCCACATAAAATCTTACCTTTTCCTACCCGATTTTCAAACAGTGGGAATAGGTAGAATTAACCGCTTGTAGATAATGTTCTCTGTTTTTTTTTATATTGATGACATTTTCTTGAGAGAAGTGGACAGGCTTTCGCCTACATCTACTTCTCTTCGATTCTGGAAAACGTGTAAATTTCGAACCGGTAACAGCCTACACTTAAACTGATATTTCGTCTAAAATATTTTACAAGTTCGCAACGTCTGTTAAGTACATTCAGACATATTTTTGACGAAATGTCAGTTGAAGTGTAGGCTGTCACCGGTTTGAAATTTACACGTTTTCCAGAATCAAAACATGCAGGCTTGCGAAGAGAAGTGAATGTAGGCGAAAGCTCTAAAGAGAATAATTGATGACTATACAAATGTAAGTTTCATATTGATTGGCCCCTTAAAAAGTGGCGCTTAAACTTTTTGAAAATTTCTAAATTATTCACTGTTGTTGGCCTTTTTTTTTAGTGCTTTGCTTGTAAATGATCACCATTCCATACAGCTAAAGTATGGTTTGATGGTATGGACAATTGATTCCAGAAAACAAAAGCAGAAAAATATTTTATTTTTTGTGCCATTTCCACCCATATACATGTATTCCACATATTTAAATATTGCATATCAGCGAGGACATTTGTGTCACCCGACATATCTAGTTTAAAATTGACCTTTTTACACTCGCACTGTCGATAGGATGTTCGGGTATATTGTCATCCCTAACCGTTTTTCGTACTTTCTTGTCATAGCTTCTCATGCATTTTAGAAGTATAAAAAATAACGTTTTTGTATTTGTCATCGTTTACTGTGGCTTCTCAGTTTTCTTTATTGCTAACATGCACAAACCTGATAGTCATTCTCAGAAATATTTACATTACCGCTACCACTACCATATATCAAATCAACATTAGTATTCTGTGGGCGAACTCGTCGCCTTGCATGAGACAGCTTCAAACATGACCCATATCCCGGACAAATCAGTAAAAAAAAAATCAACATTTTAATAAATTTTTATCATAAATTTCAAGCAATATTTTGCAGAAGGTGTTATCTGGAAACCCATGATTCATCCCAAAATCTTGGGATCAACAACCATATAACTGGTCCAAGCGGCTCCAGAGTGGAAGGGTGGGAGGGGTCATAAGCTTCCCCATTTCCCCTTCCATGGTTACCATTTAATAAGGGTTCGTCCTCCCAAAGTCCTGGGATTTTTCATTTTTAATCGCATGTTATAAAGCACATTAAATCATATACCCCCTTGCCCCATATCTTCATTAAATAGTCGAACGTACTATTGATGAGAAATTGATACAACAGCTGGTGGTGTGGAAAGTCAGAACAAGATAGAATTAAAAACACACAGGCATTACACAATGTAAGTGTGTGCTTTTCTTTTCCTTCCATTTTGTAAAACGGCATTCAAAAAGCTTTGTACAATAAGAGGTATACATCTAAGAAAATAAACGCAAAAAAAAACTGATGGAATTAAGTTATATTCTTAAAATAAATTGACAGCTTTTATGAAATACATGCTCATTTACATACAAAATATACATGTAGCTAATCAATTTTGTGTCATTCAAATCTCTGAAATATGTATAATTTCATTCTAGTAGTTCTAAAAATTAAAAAAAAAAAAAAACAAGACTCATTTTTGTTTAATTTTCATATTTAAATAGAAAGCACCCATATGATCTTTTTGCATGTCTGTTAGGTTTTCAAGAATTTTTTTTCCTGAGTAGAACACAAAGACAGTCCTCTAGTAATACATGTCCGCAGTGTCGATACTAGGCGGGTCCTTAGTAAATTCTGAAAAAGAGACAACAAAATCGTTATAATGTTTATATGTAAACCACCACCACCACCACCCCCCTCCCGCCGAAAAAAAAGAATTCAACAAACAAATACCGATGTGAGTTTTTAAAGCACACTTTCCCCCTGAAATGACAAACTCGTAATTGTATGAAGGTAAAGAGAACGTTAATGTTAAGTGGCTGTGTATAAACACCTTGCATCATTAGTTGCAAAAACTTATCACTAAATGCTAGGTCATATACAAGATTTATGAGAAAAGTACTTAGCCTTCATATGATACTCTCAGATTCAGAGTCAGGGGTTCTAGTGTTAAGAGTTGGGCTTTATTGTCATACAGTGAAAATACATAAATCCTTCAAAAATCTTATTTTGCAGAAAAACCAAGTGCATACATATGATGAGCAAGAGAGCTTATTCGAAGAGCTTTTTACTTTATTTTTTCCCAAGATGTACTAAAAGAAGCAGACCTGTTTGAAGCAATTTTAGTTTCGGGGGGAGGGGGGGGGGGTTCAGCATACACAGAAATTCTTTACCAAAATAAAATGTCACCAGACATTTTTGGAGGGGCACAATCGCAAATTAGCTTTGTTCTGTAATGTAACAACCGCAAATAAGCTTTGTTTTCTAATGTAAAGTATATACTGGCCAAGTTATATTGAGGGGGATAGCTCTTTTTTCTATTATAATAGTGAAATATATCCTGGTAAACTTATTGGGGAGACCTCCATATCCATGCCCCCCCCCCCCCCCCCCGCCATTCCAATGGGCCTGAAAAAATGGATATATACATGTACTTTCTGGAAAAGAAAGAAAAAAAGCATTATGTACCCCAGATGTCGAGTTCGCCATCCTTATTTATGTCGAAGTTGTTGAGCTGTTGCTGTGCGTATCGCTGTGCGTCTTCGGAAGAGAAGTGGAAATTGTTGAAGAAGAAATAGGCTATTTCGTGAAACTCAAGCTTGGAGTCACCATTCAAGTCGAATTTATCAAACATATCAAAAACTGAGCGTTTGTCTAATGATGGAGCAGATCGCTGAAAACAGAAAAAAATGTGATTGAAAATACTAGACGCTTAGGGTGTTGCACAGAAAAAGGAGGGTGTGAAAACTAATTCCGCAACGATATGCACATGCTTTCATCCGAGTGTAATTTATTTAAAAAAAAAACCTTCTCCGAAGCATGGTTATATAAAACACAATAATTCCGTGACATTTGAAAAGTACAGTTCCACGATACGTAGTGTGTAATAACTAAAAACAAAATGTAGAAGTTGATTTTATTTATTTCATTTGTCCGTGACGATCGCAATACATGTAATACTAGTACGTTCATTGATTCATTTTGTTGTTAGATAATGAGTCTCCTGGAATTTGTCAATAATACTGCATGATGTAATACATAATACAAGCAGACATTTTCTTCTTTTTTTTTTTTACATTATACTAGTATTCTTTTTTATGTTTTTGACATCAATTTTGATAAATTCTATCAATTTGACCAAAGAATGGATTCACTTGATGCAAATTATTGAGTTACTGTAGAGTAAGCTTTCTTTTTTGATATTTTATAAACATAATTCCTTTGCTTCTACGGGAGGATTGGTTGTGCACGACTAAATTGTTGCTGTGTCGGCAACTTCTATTAAAAGATCTCATCCTCGATTGACGTTCAAACAAAGGAATATTAAAATATAGGGGGGGGGGGGGCTTTCAACATAAAAAAGAAAAGAAAATGTCAACGTCCTTTATTTATGATCAATTTTAAGGTTAAACTGTGAAACCGGTGAAGGGACGCGGAAATTAGTTTCAATTCATGGAAGAAAAAAAAATATTAATATTTTCATCAATTAAATGAACATGCTATGACATTCACTAATGAATGGGGATCTATTTAAGCAGTGGATAAACTTAATTATATAACATTAATTTAAAAGTTTTGTTTCATCTATAAATAGAAGGTAATCCCAAGTTATATATTTTTTACGTGATAAGAGAAGAGAATCGAAAACTACGCCATGTCCTGTTAAGCAATCTCAATAGAATGTTAAAAATACTTTCAATAATTAACCTTTCAATATTAAACAACGATCTGAAACCAAAGGCGCACGCAACGTTTTCCGGATCAATTCAGCCAATATTTCTATAATTATGGATAAAGACTTGCTATCAAATAACATGCGAAAATACAAAAAGTTCCAACACTGCTGATTTATTTTCATGTTTTTCTCGGTGAATGATATGAGTTTAATGATGAATTACAGATAATTTTCAGTAAATTTATCCCTAGTCGTCGCCATGCCATTTTAGAACTTTGGCTCCTTGCTTATAGTGCATATCTTTGATAAAATTAATTAATTTATATGACGTGTCTAGTGAAGTTTTAATTCAATATGATTACTAATAAATATTGTGTCAGGCTAAGATGTGGCTGCCAAGATCAATGTGGAGCTTTCACAGTAATGCTACCACCAACAGTGTATGCTTCCTTTGACTAATGCTCAGAGGAAATACATGGAAACATGATAAGAAAGCAAATACATGTAGGATGCTTTTGATCATGATTTAGAAAAACCATAAAAGCTTACGTATTTGTTTTAGGCATACCATCTTAACATCGTGTCTCTTAAGTCACAGTGACAAACATATAATACGAAATTTAAAAGAATTAAAAGGAATTATCACCAGACAACATTTTCATTATAAGTTTATCTATATATAACTAATGCATATTAGAGCATTTTTGGTCGACTGAAACTTTGTCTACGTTTTTCGTCTTTAGTGCAGCTTTCATCTATCAGTCGGGAAAGGGAGGTCTTTTTGTGCAAAGCGACACTTAGGAATCACTATTCCCAGCGTCTGTCTGTCTAGCTGCCCTTTCGTCCATCCTTCTGTCACACCTTTTATCTTGAGAACTGTAAGAGGTATTGATTTGATATTTTGGTTATCCATTACATGTCATTATGGCTCTTGTAAAACACCACGGTTACCGACCCTTCGACCTTTCAACTTGACCTTTGAACTACTTTTCAAACTAGTTCATAAAGCCGATAAACAGCCTATTTTTGGACCTTTGGGATGTAAGTTTGTCCTATTTAGCATTAGCACGGATTTCGTAAAACATTATTTAAAAAAAAACAATGATACAGTCCACTTGACCTTGACCTTTGATAAACTTTTTAAAAAATACTCCCGAATGATTAATTTTTTATGTCTTATGAATATGGAATGAAGATGCACGGAATTTGTTAAGTAGCAAATATATTACATGATTATGAGCTCATGACACTACATTTAAACTGTATGAAATGCACAGTTACATGAACTTTAAAAAAAAACCTCGGGATCGGTATATCGATTAAAATAAACATTTGACATTTGCATCAAGACTTCTTGTTTCATGTAGGGAAAATAAAGAAATAAGGAGATGGTCAAACAAGGCGTGCAAAATGCCTATAGCTTCAAGTGTATAAATATCAGTTTGTGACTTTAGTATTTAGAGTGAAGCTTTTATCATTGAAAGTTATGAAATTACGACAAGCAAAACTTTTCTGCGGAAAAATTCTTCAAAAATCATTCTATGATTTTTTTTTTTTAAATCTAGTATTCTTGGTGTTCGAACCCAAGCAATACAAATCCCAAATATCAATTTTCCCTGTAACGCTAATACGCTAACCACTAAGCTATACTGCTCATAACAAATGACACTGTGCTGGATAAATCTGCCACTTCCAAAGTGGCATATTGGTGACCACCAATCTCTTATTTAACATAAAATCCACATATATACATTGTACCATGAGGTAGACCATCACTAACAGAGTTCAAAACTACCTTTCTTACAGGTGAATAGCACCTGTCAGGTGAGATAATCACCTTTAAATGAAAATTCCCATGGGAAAAATAAAGTTCCTGTAGGAAAATTAAATTTCCTCGGGGATATTATCAACCTCCAATGGGATTCGATCATTTCCAGCAGGATATTGTATTTATATTTTTACGCATATTTTGAGTATAATTTTATAAAAAAAAAAAAAAATGGAGCGAAGACCTACTCAAATGTTAAGTTTTGTACAGATTTATTAAAAAAAATATATAATCCTGTATATATTATGCCAGTTGAAGCTGAAGTACTCGGAAACAAAATGTATGATCGAAATGCTGAAAAGACGCCATTTAATTTTTGTAATATGGCATAAAAGTTTATAAAATCACCCGTCTTTGTGCTTGAAGGACCTGGAAATAGTGAATTTGCGCTTGGTTTTGTTCTGAACATTAAATATGGAATTTTCAGGAAATCGGTGCGAATATTGTCAAATATGTGAAAGAAAATTGCCCTGGAAGACAGATTGGTTTACAGTTATTCAAGGAAAAACAAAACCATGTAGATGACATTGTGTTCTCATGTAATTCTTTACAATTCTTTTCTATGATCTGCCAAACACAGGGCCGTCGCCAAGTTTCTTGGAAGGGGGTGTGGCGTAAGGTACTTGGAGGGGTACCCCTCTTTTGAAAATTAAATTTATCTTTATAAATTTATGGGCCCCATTTTACTGCAATCCTGAAGTAACTTTTTCACATATTAAATAAACAAAACATAGAAGTATTACTTTAAACAGATGAACAGTAACACTTCGTTTCAAGATATTTTTGAGAAAGAGTTTTTAAGGGGTCGCGATCACACCCAACGAACACATCCCCGTTCGATGGCCTTGAATCACTTCAGTAATCACGTCTTGTTATATGCTCTCTGGGGATTATTATTTTTAACTAAAATTCCCGAGAAAAAATATAAGAACCTGTCGATAGCACACCTTGAGTCGACAATTAAAAGCATGAAGCTGCATCGACAGAGGCAATAAACCATAACTATATTCACTTTGTTTAAGGGATTATCAAAATAACTGTCCTATCGCTAGAATAGACACCATAACTGTCCATGCATTTTATATAATTTAATACCTGTACTATTGGTAGGGTAGAGAATTCCACTTACTTTTTGGACGGACCTCCATTTGGACTTGCTCGTGGGTAACGATAACACCACAGCCAACAGAGACATCAAGACAACCAACTTCAGAACAGCCATATTGTTCCACCTCTATAAAAATTTTTTTTCACCTTTACTGTAATATAATCACGTTTGAACTCGCTGTGTAAGCGACACTGTGGTACTGTACGCAGTTTGGGGACTTTATATTCTTTGACAAACCATCTTCAAATTAATCGATGGCTTCTTTTCCAAATACAACACATTATCGGACTTTTGATTTGAGCGCTTTTTACCATGAGATAGGACACGTGAAGAGGTACCAAACAAATGGTCAATTATGAAATGGCAGATGGAAAGCGTTACGTTATCTGCAATTACAAACCAATTCACCACCCAAAGTACTCAAGGATGCTGACTTCGATTATTGTACACTTGTGACAGTCTGGTGAAGTACAATTTAAATGCTCTGAAGGTCAGTAAATAGTATTGTTGACTGGTTTTTATTGTGAGGGGATGGTATCAAGTGAACAAAATCTCTACGTATTAAGAGTTATTCCAGCTTAAACAAATAGTTTTATTTGCTCATATCTACGTATTATTTTGAAAAATCATGGAATTAATAGAAGAAAAAACAAAACAAAACCAACTGTAGGGTCATTTAAATGCCAGCTTCCACAACAAATGAAATATCTTACGTACATTTACCACAGTGCTAAATACGTCATTGTTATAAAAGACAACGTGGAAAAAGTCACATCATAAGATACAAAACGCGATATGTAGAGTCATTTTCATACCTGTACCAGATGTATACGTTCCATCACAGTCCTTTTTGTTAACGACTTTCTCTCAGTGCTCTTGCATGGATTTTATACTCAGTGATTTGTCGTCATCAGAAACGGATTGGTCAGTTAACAGTTTCTTTCACTAATAAATCAATACGTTATCAAATTTTGTGGAAAGGCTTAAATAAAGTCCATGGCTTTCATATCATATTAAAGTCACTTTTGGGTATTTGAAACTAAGCAGGAGAGTGACTTTGAAATTGTACTCCGAAAGAAAAAGTAGACCATTCCTGTGAAACGGCCTTCTTTTTCCTTGACAAAAATCTTCGCTATTAGCTAGAAGTTACAAGTCCCATAACTGTATCCCCCTTTATTTTTGGTCGAATAAGTGGCTAGAAAATACTCGTAGTGTATGTTTTTCGAATTACATTTTCGTCCTTTTTCTGTTTTGTTCTTTTTTGTGCTTGTCTAATTTAGGGGATAGTCTGAAATAAAAGATAGAGAATGACTGTTTTATAAAGAAATAAATCGTTTTCAATGTTATCAGTTGAAAACTTAAGATAACATTTGAACTCGGTAACATAATTTTCATTTTTAATTCACCAGTAACAAGAAACTTATTGACTTCCAAGATGATCACAACTTCTATGTGCAATATCATCAAAATACTGACAGTACTGAGAAGCGCTCAGCTAGTTAGTGAGACATATTCTTCTGAAAATATTCTTGATAAGTATGAACTTTTTCAGATATTGTCACAGTTCTACTTGTATAAAATTTTTGGAATCTAATCTAATATATATGAATTTTCGTTTGGCATGGGCGCAATTTCAAATTACTTATAGAGTAGTAAAGAGAAAACTTTAGATCTGACAATTTTGTTCTTTTTTGTGCTTGTCTAATTCAGGGGAAAGTCTGAAATAAAAGATAGAGAATGACGATAATTCATATTTTATTTTTATCGATGTGGCGCGTCACCAAATGCAGTAGAATTAAGTTCCAAAATATAATGGTACATAAAGACTAGTCTTGCGTAATGCACCGTTCATATGAATAACAATCAAAATAAATATTGAAGCATAAATTACTTCAGTTCTGTATAATACAGGGTTATTTTCGCCCTTTCCAATTGCAAACAATTTTGATACGTTCATTTTTTAATTCGCCCAGACACGGTTCTGTTTAAGAGTAAATTTATATGCTTAAATATTTCCCTGCTACAAAATTTCTTGTTCCCGTAAAATAATTTCTTCATTTACCATGTGTTCTTGAGAAGCTGCTTAAATCGGGGGGGGGGGGGGTCATATCATTTTTTCAAAAGATGAGGGGGGGGGGGTGTAAATTAAAAAAAAAAAACAAACAAACGAACAGAAACAAATCTTCTAAATTTCAAAAAGCCTTTATCATCGGTGGAGGGGGACAAACACATAAAATTGGCAACCAACCTTTACATAAAATTTACATACTAGTAACTTTTTTTTTTCGGAAAAAGTGAGCGGAGGCGGGTTGCGGGGGGGGGGGGGGGGTAATACAACGTGCCTCTAAATAAACGTAAAACACTGGAATCCAAACTTGATATGAACATATGTGCATCTTTTTCCCATTTCCTTATTAATAAAACGGTGCATTTATTATATAACTCTTGAGATACAAAAAAAGAAAAAAAAAAGAATTGATAATAAAAATAAAATAAGTTTTAAAATTAACAACTATGTATTGCAGATTAATTCAAAATTAGGTTTAATTAGTCAATTTAAGAGCCTAAACATAGTTTGTGTACATATTTTTCACAACTGGGCATTTATGACATCTGCAGGTACCGGTATATACTAAAGTGATTTCCCAAAAGAATAAATCGTGTTAAATCTTTTTAAGAAAAATAATCTATTGATAAAGAAAGACTGATTGGATATCTTACAAAACCAGCTTGGCGGAAACGATGGTAGAGAGAAATATATATGAGCACCTGAGCCCGAACTTAAATATAAAATTAACACCTCCCAAATTTCACTACATTCTCCCATTTTGTGGAGGAATGAGATAGGGGCCTTTACAATATATAAGTATAGAACACTTTTACCAAGAGATAGGGATAGTTAAACTCCTGTGATTTACAAAGCAGATTGATAACCTGATATAATATTCATAACAAATCTTTTTAACATTAATTGTCTAAATCATAAAACGATACTGGTTTGCTTAACAAAATAAAATAGTTCAACAAAAATTCCAGTTCCACTCGAATATCTGCTCGAGACGGTTCTCGTGAACATGCCAGAATTGGTCCTCCCTGGACTCTGGAACACAGGACACCACCTGACATCTGGACCAGAAGGAAACTGAACATCAACTTGAAAATTATGGCAACAGATACAAGTCACCCGGTTGACCTTGCTCAAAGAGCAAGGGGCATGAACACTACTTAGTCTGATATAACCATGCAGTTTGCCCGACCCTGCACAGCGACACCTTGTGGGTTCGTCGGCTCTGGCTTGTTTATATAGCTGCTCCAATTCTGACCGCCCATCTTTCTAGAAGGTGCATTATGGTTAACACAGGTCATCAGTTACGATTTAGTAATCCTGGAGGCAACTGCCTGCACAAAGTTGGTGCTAGCTTTATGCATGGCCTGAGTGGGTCCTGCAACCCCATTCTCTGAACTTACCATCACCACAGTGCAATTCAACCACAGCTTCCTGCATTAAATCAAGGACCAAGAGTATGTCAACCTGCGGTGGTGCAATCTATACAAAGTGCTCGAGCTGCTTGCTACCTATTTCAATTGGTAAAGAACCCAGAGTGCCTACCTCCATGGTAACCCCGCCCCCAGCCAGGTCCACATCATTGCCAACTTTGATCTCTGGGGGCGGAGATATTCTATCATAGACTGTCTGCGATATGATACTTAACTCCGCAGCGGAATTAACTACAGCACTTACCTCGCGACCATTCACGGTGACAGGCACACGCCACGCGCTTTCTCGTGGCCTGACCTCGCAACCCTGGAGACGGCCCCACTGTTGGAGATTGTGATATATACACCTGCTTACTCTCAGCCCCTTTTCTTTGACCTTCATTTGAAGGAGCTGAGGACTCAGACTTGAATCGGTCTGGGCACTCACGACGGAAATGCCCATGCTGATGGCATCTGAAGCAAAGACCAGACCGCCATTGTCACTTGCGTGGGATGGGGAAGGAGCGGACATGCTTGCCTTGAAAGGGCTTTCGCTCATTTACCGACTTATCAATCATGAGAACTTAACTTAGCTTTGACTTCGGCGAGTTCTGGCGACTACAGGTTTAATAGGACGCCCTTTGTGGAGCTGGTTGGAGAGACCTTGACTGCTCTGCACCTGACAATTGACCGTCTAATGAGACAGAGCGCACCCCTCTGTGATGAGGGGTAAAAGCTTGGTGGCTTAGCTGGTAGGTCTTAACACGCCGAACAGCTTCATCTAAATTTACAGGACTGTCTATCAGTCTCCTAGAGGCTCATGCATCCTGACAGACCATCGCGAAACACAGAACTGCCTGCTCCTGGAGCACTTGTCCCGGGACACTCGCCCCCTAGAGCTCGTTGCGCGGTCTCCATGACACTATCACTCCACTGCTCTAAAGTCTCCTCCACCCTCTAGGTCATAGAACTAAATTCAACCTGTGAGGCAACTTAGAGTGTGCCTTTCCCAAACCACCGTTCAAACCGGGACAGGACACTATTTCGCCTTAATAAGTCACCATGAAATGACCCCAAGAGTCTTCCAGGGGCTCCTAAAGAAATATTTTCTCTATTGCATGGGGATGCAAATAAGGCATAAATCTCTTTTGGGCCAAACTCCACAGCTAGACTCCCCGAAGTGACAACCAGCACACCCCCAATTTCTGACCGACCCCTACAATATACCTGTTCCAAGGCAGAATATGAGGGGCTCTGAGTCCCGAGGGATTCCCTACTTGTATGTTCATATGCCTCCTGGGGCATAGAAGTTTCTGACACACTGGGCAGTGAACCTTCAAAACTATATAGGGGCTCCGCCCAGGGCACTGCCCCCTAGCACTGTGTGACTATGTCCTTAATGTCCGAGGCATGGCTAATCCCACTCCCCTGACTAACACTTTGACTGGGAGAAACTGCCACTGGGTTACCACTATACCCACTTGAAAAGGAGACCCTACACTGTCCCATTTTAATCCCCTGTTCAGATGGACCCTAATGTGAGAAAACAACACTGCTACAGGTAACATGTGTGTTGCTGGGTATAATAGTCACATAAGTTGGGACACCTGACAAGGATTCTCTGTGGGATTACTCAAGGGGATTGTATTGTGACTACTCACTGTAGTACTACAGTT